CTGGGCGGTTTACATCAAATTAAAACAATAAATACATAATTAAAATTTATAAAAAGAAAAATACTTTAGGTCCCTATATAGGACCTAGTAATTACTATATCAACTATACTATATAGTTGGCATATATGAATATATGCCAACTAGCAAGGTGAGGATTGTAGACATGCTCACATACCCTCTCACAGTCTAAAGGTTCTCCATCTTATTTTTTCCATTTATTTTAGGTATCCACTTCCATTAGCCTAAACCAAATGATATATCCCAGCATAATAAATAAAGTTGACTAAAATCTCTTTAATCAACAAACAGCTTTTAATACTAATGGGAAGACACTTGATTGATTATATGCCATCAAGTTGGTGGTGACTTAGCAAACACAAGGGCCCAACTGGTCCTTCATGTATCCCAATGGTGCATGGATCAGCGCTATAAATGAACCCATCCACCTTGTTGCTGCTGTCTTCCTTTTTTCTTGGAAAGACGTCTAGACTGTTTCTTTTCCTGTTCTAGCTGCTAACTTAAAAGATCAGATGTGGTTGATATATGATGACACTGGGAGATAGTGAAATCCATACTGCAAAATGGAAAATGCGATATAAACAGTGTATAAGAATGGAGATTAACCTTTTAAACAATTAGAGGCAATGGAATAATGATATATAGCCTTGCTGATACCTTTAGTACTCCAAACACTTGTAAATAAGTGATTCCCATGCTGTTCAAATGTGATGAACCATTAATTTTACAAAGGAAGCAGAATTATTTCTTTTATACCATTCCCCCCCTTCTTTAACTGTGGTTCTTGTTTCCTGCCAAGCATTAGCACTTAAGAGTTCTAATAATTTTATGAGCACAAGTCCAGATATCACACAAGCCTTGTTCCCATTATAAAGGGAGCATGTGAGAAAAATCAAGGAGATCAAGAATTACTTCATTTTTATAGCCTTCTCAAATCAAAACACAAAAGTAGCCTAAGTATTTCTGCATGAAATATTTTAATTTTACAAGCAAGAATGGAAAGAGAAGCACTGAAAAAGTTTTTATCCCTGTACTTAGTGATAGGTTATTCAGCATTTAACAATATTATTTGGCATTAAATTATGCTTACTGAGCAAGGGATTGCTTCAAATCCTCTAGCTTCAACAGAACACACAGTGGGCTTAGGCCAGCAGCGTGATTTAGTTTTATTCATGCTATTTCATATTGGCATCACAGCTACACAATGAGCCTCACTTAAAATATAAAAATAAGTGAAATTTGGAGCAAAAAGCAGTGGGAGAAGTCTCATGAGACACAGCCATTTTTTCTGGCAAAATAATAGTTCCACAGTGTCTTCCTTTAGGTTAACCTAATACTTGTGCCCTAAATGTCACTTGCTGCCTTTTAAATTTTGCACTATGAATTAGAGGAATTCCTGTAAATGTTGTCATCTTCTTTTGCCCCAGCATGAGGCTTTGGTCCTCCATGAAGGAGAGGATAGTGAAGTGACATCATCATGCCATTTCAGACCTTGTCTTATTTTGATTGGCATTTAGCTGGCTAACTGGGAATAATCAGAGAAAGTGTTTTAATTGCTGGAGGTGAAGGTATCACTAGTTTATTTGATAATTTTGGAAACTTTTCACTATAATATAACCTTGTCTGAACTGATAGCTTTTAGCCAGGAATTTGGCCATCTTAAATTTGTATCCTTTTTCAGTGGACTATCAAGCTATATGTACATATTAGCCTTCCCATCCTGGTCCCCTTTATAGGTGGCAAATGAAAATTTCAGAATTTCCAGCCAACACACCTAGAAAGCATGGCTTGGGCAGGCTGGCATATGTAAAGTGATATTCATATTTAAACCATTGAAAAAAATCCCCAAATCTTCACATTACCAAAATAAGTTTTAGAAATCAAATGGCATAAGGAATTAAGAACACTACAATATTAATGCATGGGAAAAAGCAATTTATTCATTCATTTAAAGCAAGTTGACCTCATCCTCTGGCTAAAAAGGGTTTCACAGTAGTTGACATGGGATCAAGAACAAATAAGTCAGCATAATCCTACCTTTGCATCACATTCCTAGTGCACTCTTGCATTCCTGTAAACAAAAGTTATTTACTTGAATAGTTTAGTGTACTATATGCACTAAATCATCTACATTAAAAAGCACTAAAGGATCTTATGGCAACATTTTCACAGTGATGTCTGACATCTACGGAGTGCATTCCATGGTGATCCTAGGGAATCTTTATAAACATTCTGTTTGGTGGAGTAATTATCAGTTCTTGAAGTTTCCTATTCATCCATAAATTTCTTTCTTTCTTTTCAAAAGTTTTTTACATGTTCCAAGAAAGTATGGTGAGTTGGGGGTAGAAATGAGTTTCCACACATTTTACTGAATCCTTTCTGTGTTTGATGGCAAATCTCTTAGATGGGACCTCCAAAGTGGGAAAGCTATGGTGTTGATCCCTACACAAAAATTGAGGGTGGACAGGAGAAAGGGAAAAAGAACAGCAGTGTTCAACCACCCAAAGGTCTCTCTTTATCATCTCAGTCACCCCAAGTGTCCTTTCCCCTCCTGAGGCAAATGTGCGCAGCGCTCACACTTCCCTTGCTTCAGAAGACCCCCCCATTCAGCTGCTTGGAAGTTTTTAAATTTTCAGCATACCATATCTGAGCTGTATAAAAATTTGGATAATCACTACAAGGCAGTGAAGAATCTGCCATCTTGTCATCAGTTAGGTTTTGAAGATGCTTTATGCCTGTTCTCATTCTAACATTCCTTCATAAGTAGGAAGGTGGGTGAAAAGAATAAGAGAGTGACCAGCAGCAATGACTGGGAAGCCATCAGAACCTCAGAAGTTGCTTTCCACTACAAACTGCTGAGGAAGTGATGAATGACTTGGGAAAGGCAGAAGAGTAAGTGGTGGAAGAACAGCAGCAATGACAGCTCATTCATCCCTTCCTCCCTCCTTTCTTCTGAACTGCTTCTGCTACAGCTTCTGTTGGGTTCTACTTTGGGGCTACCATGTCTGGGCTGCAAAATTATGGATAACCAGAAGACCTGGAAACAAAGTGTTACAGTGTCCTGTATCTCTTGGCTGCTGTGTAGTGATAATTTGGATTTTTTTGTGTCAGATATGGTAGCCAAAGTCCATGTAATTATAATAACCTAGTTTGAAATCACTGCAAAAAATGCAAATTAAATTGTAATGCTCATACCAGTATGGTCCTATAAGCACTTTTATGCTAGATCAGTGTCTGGCTGGGAAATTCTGGGAGTCCACACATCTTAAAGTTGTCAAAGTAGAGAAACACTCTGTTAGATAATAGGAGAGCAGTGCTCTGGTTTTCCTAAATAAAACTCCAGAATTGGATGAATCAAATGACCCTACACAGTATAACAAAGGCAGGCCAGGCCATTATTTAGAAAGTACTAATTTTCATTGTGTGTGTGTGTGTGTGTGTATCTATGTAAGGGTGAATCCTTGTGAAATTATTCTAGAATCTTTGGTGAAATAACTTGCATTGATTGATTGATTGATTGATTGAATTTAACTCACAACAGTGACTTTGGATGACATGCAAAGATTAAAACCCAACAATTAAATCAAGAATGCACAGTGGTTTGATAAATAACACATTCGAATCATAAAATATGATTGGAAATTGATTGGAAATCACCAAGAGGGTTAGCCTAACCTCCTGGACTGAATGCCTGGTGAATCAGCCAGGTCTTCAGAGCTCTATGAAAGACCAATAAGGTCATGGCTTTCCCAGAAATCTCATTACTATCCATTTACTGGAACTTATAATGGAAACACTGGAGTGTTTCCAGTGTTTCCCTGAAATGAAATAGTATCTGGCTATATGTGCATTGGCATCATTTTACTTATTGTACGAGGATTCCCACATAATTGTTTTATCTAATCCAATGATATTTAATCTATTCTGATTTATCTTTCTATTGATACAAACAGCAAGGTTTTTACACCTTTCGAGAGTCTTCTTCCCAGGTCACATTAATAGGTACATCTGACTGTTGAATAATTCACTGTTACTAAAATTATGACTGATAATATTGGGGTTCTATTTTATAAAAACACACCTAACAGAAGTCTGCCATTTACTGAGAAAAGGAAGAAGCTTTATCCCTTTAACTACTGCTATTTTTGTAAAGCCAAAAATAAAAAGTAAAAAATAAAGAAGAGAAGAGGAAGAGAAGAGGAAGAGAAAGAAAGAAAGAAAGAAAGAAAGAAAGAGAAAGAAAGGAAAGAAAGAAAGAAAGAAAGAAAGAAAGAAAGAAAGAAAGAAAGAAAGAAAGAAAGAAAGAAAGAAAGAAAAAGAAAAATCTATCTCTAGGAAGAGGCTGGTATCTCCAACAATATAAAAAAATTAAAATGTTACTTCCTGATTCTTGTGGCAATAAAAATAATTGGTGTTTAAAAAAAGCTATGTGAATGAAAGAGAGAATTCAACATTTAAGTAAATCACTCATCTTTTAAAGCAAAGCATCATATACATTTCTTGAAATGATTAGATGACTTCGTTTTACTGTAAACAGTATGTACTACTTTAAAGCCCTTATTGGGGTGGACTACCATTCTTGATTAACCCATTTTCCACCGCAGAGGACATTTATCTCTCCCACAAAGGTCCCTTCAGATGATGGGGGAGTAGTGTTTTGTTTTTTTTCCACGATCCACTACCTTGAAGAATGTGAGGGAATCCTTTCTGTGCTCTTTCACTTTGAATACTTTCTGTTTAACCTATGTAGGTTGTGCTTCTGTGTGATATGATTAAGCAGCTTTTTTCCTGTGAATATTTTAGAAGTGGATTTCCCTGAACATGACCTTTTGAGAGATATATGTATCTCTTCAAAGCTGTTTGACTTGTGATAAGGGCCATAGTTATCTAAGAGCACGAACTCTGCATCTAGATAATGGTGAGTACTGCAACAATTCTTTGTTTCTTTTTCTTGCTGAATAAGCTAAAACCTTTTAACATTCAGTGTTTTAAATAAATAGCACATCTTTCTTTTGAGGTAAAGATGCCTTATTTTTAATTTTGTAATACAATCACTAGTAACCAAATAATGTAGCTTCAAAAGTAGCTTCAAAAGTGTATATGTCCATGAAAAAATCTACCAAAACATATTGTGCCAGGGAAAATTATTTGCAGAAATGTGTGCATTAGGCAGAATTGTAGATAAACATATATATGCTTCAGTAAATGCACACTAAAGTACATATAGATGACATTATGAACTTTAAGAAAATAAATTTCAAGTCCAACATACTGAATGTGATTTACTGGCAAACATAGGTAACTGAGCAAACCTAACTCCTTCAGGAGTCCAAATTATAGCAACTCCAAACATATGGCTGTCCAGTGTCTGCCTTACATGAATGACTGCCGCAACCCTCGAGAAGTTGTAAAGATGTTTCTCTGTCTGAATGAAAAGTTGGGATACAAATGACAGCAGGTACCAAGCAGAATAAAATGCATCCAACCTTTTGGGAACTAATCGGTTTAATTTTACAGACCTCAAATTCTAATCTCATTTTGTTTACTCTAGAATAGGCCCCTTTGGGACATAGCATTGTAAACTGCCTCTGTATTGGATGTGTGGTATTGGATGACTTTCTAAGTTTAAGACTACAGCATAAATCTACATTTGAACAGGTTGGCCATCATATTAGGTACTATCTTAGACAATAAATCCAGTGTGTTTTTCTATGGAACTTGTTTGCTTTTACTATTTACATTAACCTTACAAACATATATTCAAATATACTAATATTAATATTTTCATATAACATTATAGGGCTGGGTTGGCTGAAACTTATACAATAGTGGATAAGGCAAAATTATAAGGAAAGGTCTTTTGATTATCTTAACTATTCTGCTGCACAACCTTGTAAACATTGATTATTATAATTATATACAGTAATTCTAAATTATAATACAGGAATGAAGAATTTACTCACATAGTATAAAGTTATCTATAATGAGCATGAGGTATGGAAGGTAAACTGATAACACATTTGTTCCCTTTTCTGTTTTCAAAATGTATATCTCCCTGTTTCTTTGACTTGGTAGTGGTTGTGAAGATAAAAATATTACCTTATTTACATTAACCTTCTAAGACACTTTTATTGATGGGAGGTAATGATATGTACTTTTGATATATACTTTGAAACATTCATTTGATATAGATGATAAATATGAAGCAAGACACATGAAGAGTCAGAAACTATAGAAGTGTACAAAGTCAGTCTCCTGAGATATATTTATAGCCTGGATATATGAACATGTTTTAGACCAAAATATAAATATAAACCAATTATTGGCTTAAGTTAATATTTTTCTCAGGGTCCCTGGCATTTAAAATCTTTTGGAAAACTACCAATTATAGAAATTTAATTAGGGATAATTTACTTAAAAGTAGGATACAGTTGGGATTTGATAAGGGTTGGTCATGCTTTATGCCATAGGCACATGATTTAGAGCTACAGAAAATTCCCTATGTATCTATTGTTTACTCCATTTCTTAAGGACCTAGATAAGGTTTGTTCATGTTTGATACTACAGTTATTCATAAAAGTCCATTAATTTAGCCCATTTCAATGTCCTCTCAACATGGCCCCTTCCCTTATGGCGTTCAGAAAGATGATTAAGACTTGGCATATAAGGCCCTAGGGCCAAAAATGATCTTTGTTCCCTGGCAGCAGAATTTGTTTTTAACTTGGGTTGGGTTGATCATGTGATCTATGTGATTTTTATGGATTTGTTTATTTGCATATTTTGTGTTTTTGTTTTTTTTTTCATCCCAAGTTACACAGGAGGAATTGTTTACTGCTCAGGTTGTGATTGGAGTGGCCTATAAGCTCTGTAAAATACATAAACATCACTGGCTGGGAAGTATTGTGTTACTCCCATCTCAGGAATGAATGTATGGTGATGGAAGCATGTAAATATTATTTTATTAAATATATTTTATGCAAATTATATTTATTAAAAAAAAGGTACTTGCTGATTATGTGGCTCAATTTTTTTTTTTTCAGTTTGGATTCAGTTTGACTTTTTGGAAGAAGAAGCAATAAATCCCCCCTACATTTCTAAAGTTGGTGTTAACTTCTCTCTTCTTTTTTCCTAGGAAGACAACTGGCAGCTTAAAACTGGTTGTGAAAGCTTGAGGAAGAAATTTGTAGATTTGCATACTGGTCAGCCCTCTGATTCTGAAAGGTATTAAATGTTAGATTTCCCCATTTATCAGCTTTGTAACTACAATCATTATGAATGAAATGGATTAAATACAAACACTGGAAAAATAAGTCATTCACACTGATTATGTAATATGTAATGCATTCCTATACAAGCTTTCCTGGAAGTAATTTCCCATGAATCCAGTGGAGCTTACCGCTAAATCAGGCTTCAGTTAGGTCAAGGATTTTGTCTGTTGATGCTTGAGACGGAGTAGAAAAACACTCATGGTCTCCTGGGCCTTCTATTCCATTTCTTCTGCTATCTCATAGTATTACTCTGTCTTTAGCTAGTGTTGCAAATGCAGAGGGAGGTATCCGAGCATACATATCTGTACAGGCTAGTACTATCCAGGGGAAGTTTTAGTTGGAGGTCCAGCAAAATATAGAAAATGCTTTGAGTTATCAAGCTATTTTGCTCTGTAATGAATATGCTGGATCAAGGAGCACTCTAAGATGCAAACTTGTTGTTGAAGTCTGAGTAAAACCACACCAGGCAGACTGAATAATAAGATTACCATTAGTTACTGATCTTCATCTGTCACCAAGTGTAGGCAAGTGTTCAGCAGTTTCACAGTCACACTAATTCGATTCAGATAATACTAATAAATAGAAGTGGATATCACTATATTTCTGTCTATACAACCTATCTATGAACATATCATGGTAATTGATATCAAAAGGCGCTTAAAGATTGCACTTCCTATACAGGTAGACCTCGCTTAATGACTGCCCTGTTTAGCGAGCATTCAAAGTTATGATGGAACTGAAAAACTAACTTTATGACCAGTCCTCACATTTACAACCATTGCAGCGTCCCTGTGGTCACATGATCAACTTTTAGGTACTTTGCAACTGGCAGACATTTATGACTGTTGCAGTGTCCCCACAGTCACATGATTGCCATTTGCTTGCTTTATAACTGCTTCCAACAAGCAGAGTCAGTGGAGAAACTGGCAGTAAAATTTCAAGTTGCAGTCATGTGATGTCTTGCTTAATAACCTGCAGTGACTTGCTTAATGACTGAATGGGGAGTGACCTCGTAAGTCTGTCATGGTCACGATGTTTCACTTAGTGACCATGTCACTTAGCGATGGAGTTGCTGGTCCCAATTGTGGTCACTAAGCAATGACTACTGGTAATTTTTCTGACAAACTGTGAAGATTTTGAGATTCTCTAATGCAGTTTCTCCCTGACTCTAGCCCAAAAGTCAAGGTAACCAAGGTTATTCAGCTAACAACTCCTGAATTTCTTGTTCTGGTTGAAAATTATGGGAATTGGAATCCTGATTGTTAGGGCCCGATACATACAAAGGATACAGTTGTGGATAAGCTTGGAAAAAGCTATCCTAGATAATTTATTTCATCACAAAGTGTATGGAGCTGGACCTTCATGTGACTCCAATGGAGATATTTGTAACCAGACAGTAGGTGTAAAATACTCATTTTTTTTCTTCTAAAAAAGTAGCATTCAGGATGCCTAAAATTTTTTTTAAAATAAAACATAGCAACAGTATTAAAATCAAAGAAAGAAAAATAACTGATTTTTTAAAAAAGCTACAGAACTGAGAATGGTTTGGGCAAAAGAGATTTTTTTTTCTGAATATATTCCAGTTGTTAACAACATTAGCCATCTCTTGAGTAGCAGCAGTAGCTGTAGCTGCTACATAGTGAATTTGTGACTGAAAGAAAAGTAAAAGACCTTCATTATTAGTTGTCTTATATTTACAACCCATTTGAGATGAAATACTTGTGCTAAAATGGCATATTAGCAGCCTTATCTTAACCAGTGAAGATTTCTGATTACTGAGTAGATTGTTCAAAGAATTTCAAGACTTTTGGAGATACCAAATGTTGCCTTGATATTAAGTTTAAGTATTTGCCCTTTTATTATAATAGTGCAGATTGTAGATGCAGATTTAGTTAATTATTGGGACATTCTCATTTTTTTCCCCCAGAACCAGATGTTTCCATGCTAAGTATGACTCCCTATTTTTGTTTTTGCTTTGTTATTTCTATGGTTCCAAAAAATTAAGTAGAAGCTATTAGGAAACAATTGGTTCTGTCCACATTGAACAGCACTTAGTTTTCCAGATGTGTCATTTCACAGCCAAACAGCTGCTAGCTATTAGCTGTTCTTTAAAACTTCATTCCTTTTTCATATGGGAAACAGAAGCACAGAGACATTTATGGGGTGATAGACAGATGTTTTGGTTGAGTTAGAATTGAATGAAAGTGATGTTTTTTGTTATCTAATTTGCATGCCTATATATAATTTAAATCTATATTTATCTACATTATGCCACAGCACCCTTTTCTAAAGAAGAAATGATGATTATCTTCATACCAACCTATGCATATTTTTGAATATAGCATCATAAAAAGCTCCATCTAATTGGTGACTGTATCCATGCAGTTTTCTTAGTAGCATTATGGAAATGGTTTGCCATTCTGTCTTCCAGTGCATTTTTGTCAGTATTTCATTCTAGCTTATAGTCATAGGAATTCCCAGATAGTCTCCCATTCAAGCACTAACCAGGGCTGACTCTTACCTTCTGAGATCAGCTAGGTGCCATGACTAGTTGAGGCAAACAAGGGTTTAGCCAATACAAACTCTTTTCTTGCAGTGGGGTTTTCTATTTATTTTCCATGTCTGCATACATGTTTATATGCCTTCTGCAATCTGGTGTTGTCAAGAAATGTTAAGAACACATTAAATGGAAATTCTGGGAGCTGTCCTCAAACATATTTGTAGATCACCCATTGGATAAAGCTGGTCTACAGTAATTACAGAAAGACAGTAATATATATATTTTTTCCAAATGCCCTTTGAGAAAAAAAATAAACTCAGATTCAAATTCATTGTATGAAGTTATGCAAAGAGTTCAAAAGTATGTAGGTATGTCAGTTGATGTATTTTATTTTGAACTCTGGATTTTTATGAAGAGAAAAAAACTACAGGAAATTGTGGATTAGAAAAACAAGGAATATATAGGTTAAGCATGAATATTTTACCATCATTTGATTGCATATCAGTTAAATGTCTACTGAAGGCACAGAAGCCTTTTCAAACAAGTAATTGCTAAGCTACAATAGGGATGTGCAGAGGATATTTGGGTTTCATTTCTAGACTATTATTCTAAAATTGCCAACTTTTTTGGCTGTGGGGGAGGAAAGCTCTTTGCCATTAGCAGCAGTTGAAGCTCTTCTGTGGAAATAAGGAGGTGCTGGGAATTTTTCTAATGCTCCAAATGGGCTGCCAAGAACTGGGCTTTTCCCTTCAATTTGTTATTTTCCAAATTAGTGTCTCACTCCTACATGCACACACTCTTTTCAGTTAGGTGATACCTATCTGTACTTGCTTCTTGGGAACATGAGACCTAAACTACTTGCAACCCCCTAGAGAACTTTCTAGAAGCCTTCTGAGAACTTGGTCTCGCTTTGCTTGGACAAACCATTGTGGAACTGAGTTCAAACAGGGATCAATTTTGCATGTTCAAATAGAATAAACAATGGGATAAGGAACCCATTCAGTGTTAAACTGGTAATTGTAACATCTGCTATTATCAAGTAGGAGTTCTTTAGTTGTATTAAGGAGGGAGTCTTACACATTCATTTATCAGCTTTACTGTACAAAGTTTTAGATGTTAAAAAAAAAACCTGAGGAGTTGCATTACAAAATTGGCCAGGTATAAAACCTGAACATTAATAGTTTATATATTAGCTCAGGAGCTACAAATACAATCAATTTTAATCGCAGTGCAAACCAAATGATTGTTTCCTCCATCTTTAGGTGCCAGGCATAGCTTCACCACATTGGCATTCTTCTCTGCTATTAGGAAATAATCAAAAACAGATCCTTTGTTGGAAAGTCTGCTGGACTAGATGATCTTTAATGTCCTTTCCAACTGTGAGTCTATAAAAACTTATAAAACCAATTTAGCCCAACTCATAATTTAGGTGTTACCCAAACTAAGATTGGTAATGCTTATGCTGTCGGTCTGCCTTCGTAAGAGAAGCAGAATGATGGGGTGTGAAAGTTGTGATTCGCAGATACATGCATGTGCACACCCATCTACAGATATATAGTATAAATCTCTAAATATCATAACATATTTTGAAGAAGTAGCAATGCCTATTTTCTCATTTGTTCCCAGTTTACTGTAGAAAAAAGCAGGCTTTTACAATAATAAGAGGCAGTTTGAATTTGATAGGGATCTGAATGTAAAAGAGGCCATGCTTTATAGCATTGGTTCTGATTTTGAACCATTTCATTCTGGACTAGAATAAATATTTAATTCTTTTGCCAATCATATACAGAAAAATAACTTGTTTCCCTACCAATTTGAAGTGCCATTGTTTGAGGAACTGATATTTCAAACATAGCATGTGTCATGTTCCAGCTGATGCTTTTGATCTTACTGCAAAGATGGTTTAACTATTTCTGCCTGGGTGCTTGTCTTAGATATACCAACACACAATCAAGTAGAAGTTAGGTTTGTATTCAGATGCCTAGAATTTAAATTATGCACATTTATTTTTAAGAAAGTTATACTAAGGAGCATAGAATTTACTGAAAAATATGCAGAGGTTAGAGCTGTTAAAACAGTGTTGTC